ACACTACATTGGAATACATTTGTAAAAGTTCCCAGTGTGCACAGGACAAGTACAGACACAAAACAACATTAAAAGACAAAAATAATTTTTTTTTTAAAAACAGTCAACAAATGTCACCGTGAAGTTGACCAACTTAAAACAGATCTATACGAGTGCAAAAACATTAAAGTGCTCTATTCAAACTGTTAACAGCTCGTGGAAAAAAAACTATTAGCATAACGAGATGTCCTGCATCTCAGAGAACAGTATCTTCTGCCAGAGGGAACTACCGTATGTAGATGTTTAGGATGTCAGGTGTTGAACAAAAGGTGTTGTCAATCAATCAATAAGTCAATCAAGGTGTTTATAAAAAAATAACCTTGGACAACACAATTTCACAGAAACAAAGAAACAAATAAACCTGGAACAAAAGGCTACACACCCTGAATAAGATGTTTCATCATGTTGAGGCTCATCATACATGTGCGTGTTCTCCTCATGACATGTCACAGTTGTGTGTCGTCTGCAGTCAGTAAAGTATCTGTTGAAGGAGTTGCCTAAAACAGGACGGACCGGTCAGACGTGACGCACCAAAGTGACCGCCTTTTGCTAACCCGCAAAACCATCAAACTCCAGCCAAGAAACTACCTCAGCTCACCTTCATTATTACTGCTTTTACCCTAAAGATGGCTCGGCTCTGGGCCTCGGCTCTGGGCCTCGGCTCTGGGCCTCGGCTCTGGGCCTTTGGGCCTCGGCTCTGGGCCTCGGCTCTGGGCGCTTCTCTGGCTGCGCCATGCAAGAAATGTATGCAATATTTCAGTTTAGCACAAAAATATCTGAAAAACTAAATCACAGACGCAATTGGCCTCATTTCAAAACAAGGTGAGATACACTTCAGAAAATGAAACACTTTTTTATTCACTCTAAGATTCAGTTGGAACAGCTGGAGTAATGTGCTCATGTGTTTGTGTGTATGAGATGTTTTACAGTAGTTTAACCATGATTCAAAGCAGCCACGCCCTTCTGCTCCTTCTGGCTCTAAAGTTATTATGATCCCACAACAATTTAACACTGTTTATGCCAAGGAAATGTGTCGGCTGCTTATGTTCGGATTTCAACTTTAAAGAAACAAAACTGGAGTGACAGGAGGATGCAGACAGAGAGAACGTGCAGACACTGAGAGAACATGCAAACACTGGTTATACAGCACAGGACTAATATAATTGTAGACTTCCATTTGGATCCATTCATGAGATCGGCCAAGACTCCATTGTTCTGCCTGTTTGTTTACTCCTTTGGGATTTGAACAGACTTTAACGGCAAAGAATGTTTATAACTAACACTTACATGGGTTGTTAAGTTTTACGAATTATTCAAAGCATTTGACTTGTTCACTGAAAGTTTCATAAATGATTGTTCTAAAGTCAATCCCCTTCTATATGTATATAATATATATCTAATTAACATGACCGACACACAGCATGAGATGTAGAAAGACTTAATTAAAACTAAATAATTTAGGTTTTATAGAGAATACACATTAAAGTGGAATCGCAGATATGAACTTTAAACAATGCAAAGATTAGATGACAAAAGGAAATTCCAGCTGAAACACTGAACACTTTATTATCTGCATTATTTGCACAAGAACTTTGTATATTTGACACAAGACTAAACTTATTCCCATTTGTGAGAAGTTAAAACTTATTTACTATAAGAGCTTTACTGTAGTTCCTATTCCCCTGAAGTCTCCATGGCAACCCCCCCCCTCCTCTTGCTGTAGTTTTCCACAACAGATGATGCAACCAAAGTACTAAACTCAGGACAATAAACCAAACAAAATATTTGTCTTAACACTTTTATTAAAAACGATTCAACAAAAACACGGTAAGTAAGAAACTGTACAGACTATAGCATGTTTCCAAACATTATTCCTATGGGTTAAAAACAAGTGAAAAGCAGTTCTTTGTGGCCTTTAAGATGTTTTTACAATTATAAATAAAAATGGCTTTTATGAAACTGTAGCTGATTGTCCCTTTTCCATCTGCAATTCTCCTTAAAAACACTCATAATGGCTATAATGGCTCCCACAACATCCAGTACTTTACAAAAAGGAGATTTCAGTATTTACAAGTTGTCCATCTCTCGTTGCTGCAAAAGAAGAAACACATAATATTATAGTTATTATTACACAAGTATCAATAACTAATATAAAAAAGGTGTAAAACTAGTTTAAACATTTACCTGGGCTTTGTTGTACTTGCCCTGTCGCTTCTTGGCAAAGAACTGAAAAGAAAAAGAAAAGTAAGTATTGGACAAAATGCACTGTTTCAAATCTCAAAATATAAAAGATTAAGACATTTAGACTAAAAAGACCAGAAACAATCTGAGGCTTTGGAGAAACTGCCTTCACAGAATGTTGGAAATATTGTGTTTTATGGACTGTCTGAAATAAAGATTTAATATATTAAATAAATAAATATCAGACCAGGGAGTAGAAAAGACTGGTTTGGACATCCCTGACTCAGACTTTAGTCTCTGAAGTGTAGAGAGACAGGTCTACACACATTTCTAATACTGAGCTCCTACGACAGATTAAAGGGCTCATGGTTTTTTAAACAGTAAAGACACTTTCTCACGACAGTCACGTGTGAAGCTTAGACCTAAACTAAATCCACTGTCCCAGTAGAGCACGGTCTGGGGCAGAGACCAGGACTTCTGAAAGTGAATTAACAAACTGCTCTCACCAGGACTAGGAGCCCGGCCACTACGGCCAGAACCACCACCACGATGACGGCGATGATGCCTCCGGACAGGTTCTGCATGGTGAAAGTCGGCCCCTTCTCGTCCACGTAATAAACCAAGATGTTCTCGAACTCCATCTTCTGCCCGCCGACCATGGGAGTGAACGGTTCCTGGCTCCGGAGCAGGGGCAGGGCCTTCACCTAAAAACAAGTGTTAAAGTTTGGGGTCAGAACCAGTTTAACTTTACATCTGCAACAGGTACGTCCCACAATAGAATCAAGAGCAAAAACCTGCGTGACATAAAACTATATATTTGTTGCTTTTTCCCCAAAAATTTATAAATTAAAAAACGGTTGTGGCACATTATAATATTACAGAAGAACATTTGATAAAAGGTATGGCTTTTCAAAAGTTTAAAAATGAACTCTGGTGTGTGTCGTCTGGTGCACACTGGGGTAGTCTTGCAGTTTCCAATTTGGTTTTACTGCAAATGGCAAATAAATGAATCTGAACAAGAATTGCAAAAACCATGGAAAATAGACTACAATAAATTATTTTCTGTCCAATTCACAAATATGAAACTGTATTGATTTGGTTTCCTCTTACTGAGGTTAAAGAACTTTAACAACAACAAGAGCAAACACAGGAAACTTTAACATTGGGTTTGCGTCCCAAGTCATTCCCACTTTTACTGAACCATTTAAAAGCAAATGCTTCCAACAGTAAACTTACATCTTTCTCCATGTAGTAGGCCATGTGGGTCAGGTCGGTCTTGCCCTGACCTTTGGGCTGCTCCACGTCCACAACCAGGAGTCTGGCCTCAGGGTCATACTGAAGACATGGGACATTATGATTTAGCTCAACTCTACATTTACTTTAGTCAAATGTGAAGAGACTGAGCCGCCGGGACACAGAGCCGCCGGGACACAGAGCCGCCGGGACACAGAGCCGCCGGGACACAGAGCCGCCGGGACAGTTGAATGAAACTCACTCACCTCCACCTCCTTGACCAGGTCTTTATTGAAGTTCAGGTAACGTTTGTGAATGGCATCTGCTACAGCACTGAAACAGAAGGACTACAATTACACACTACACAACAATTATACACTACACAACTAGTAAAGTATGGAACCACCACAAAGGCACATGTAGTTGGATCATTGGGTTGTATCATCATGAACTCACGCTTTCAGGTTGGCAGGGTCCACTGTTCCACTTGTAATAGGTTTGTGTGTGAGCTGGAGACGCACCCAACTGCAACACAAAAGTCACTGGATCAACACAACTTACAACACTAAGCACCACCATTCATGTAAAGCTATAACCTTAAGCAAAATAACATTCATTATGAGGCTCTTAAGAACAGAACAGCTGCGTTAACATAAGAGATTGTGATGCATAAACTTCATAGAAACTATTTAGCATTAAGTAAAAGATACGACCTCTGCCTTTACACTCGTGACTTTGTAAAAACTATAAAAACTTTACTCACTACGTGATGACGAGCTCCTCACACTTCAGGTCCTTGTCTCCTTTGTCGGTTCTGCGGACGCCGGCGGTGTTGACGCACCAACACGTCTCGGTGTTGTTGCACTGCTTTGCCTTGAAGGTCCCGTCGTTCTCACATTCTGGGTCGTAGATGCCGTCGTTGTCCACAAACGCCGTCTCCACTGGTTTACCGCCGGTCCGCGTGCTGAGGCCCTTCCTGGCCCTGTACATCTCCGCCTGCATCAGGAAGCACTTTGGGATCACTGAAATCAGAAAACATTAAACCACATTCAAGTTTAAAAAAGAAAATGTAAGATTCTGTGGCGTCCTTACGTTTCTCGCATTTCAAAGATTGCTTGGAGTCATTTCCGACCATGAGGTGGCATTCGCAGGGAGTTCCATCACAAGTGGCCCATTTCATCGTGTCACAGACGCCTGGGATCAAGAACAACGCGTTAAAACACTTTCAAATGTATGAAAACTTGTGCTTATCACGAATGACCTTCAGAACATTAATGTGTGTCAATGACGTCAAAAGTTCAAAGAATTACACATACTACTTTCATAAATACATAGTTATTGTTGAATGTTGTATTGTCTTCAGCAGCAGTAGATTCTCTGCTTCACTTCACACCTGGGCGTTGGTTTGTCAAACTAGTCCCAGGAAAGAGGGCCATCTGCCCCACCCCCACCCCGAAACCACAGAGAGCCAGGTAATCCCACTATAAACTCCAATTCATCCGTTTCTTTAACATCTGCATTTTGGTGAGACATTGGACGTTACTTTTGTCAGAGAATTAATGAAAAGTTCCCAAAGAAGTTCATGATAAGAACCAGGAAGACCATGTGGACCATGTTAGAATGAATGCACCAGGACCAAAGGAACAGGTAAAAACTTCCGCGTTAGACCCGAGTGTGTTTGAGAATCGAGTTAAACTATTGAACATATCTAGAATACCGAGTAATCGAATATACACGGATAGAGTAAGACTTACATTGTGCGTAGGCGCCCGCCGCCAGAGCAGAGACCATGAACGCAATCCAAATCTTCATGGTGTTGGAACAAGTTTATCTACAATCAGCAAAGTGTTCGTCCGTCACCGTCCAGTAGGAATCCGAAATACAGCAGTGGAAGAGCGGAGAGCTGCTTTTCAGTCCGCAGGTGTGTCCTGGTCAAACCTGTTTGAAGGAGAAACTCTACGGGAGCGCGCACCAAGGTCAGGCCTCTCACGGGAGCGCGCAGTAGGAGGTAGGGCTTTGTCTGCGGGGGTTGTAAGGTCCTCTTTGTTTTTGGAGTGAAGAGAAGTGAAGTACCGACGGTTATGCTCACATTTATAAAGTCAGGTACGCGGGTGACGTCACGCTCATTTGCATATCCCGTCATGCGTGGTTCGGGTTCCGCTATGACCATATATGGAGAGCCGCACCTTTCTGTGGCGTCTTTGTCCATTCTTGTCAGTTTCCCACAGGTGACACAGCAAGACTTCAGTGTTCAGTGTTTTAGAACATGTTTAAGTCACTTTTATTTGGTGCCTTTTCTAGTTTGGGTTTAGTCCTTTCCAGTTGTTTGGGTTTAGTCCTTTCCAGTTGTGTGGATGTTTTGCGTATGTTGTTGGACCTGTTTATTGGTTTTATTGCAATAGTATTAAGAACATATTGTTTGAAGATGGGATTCGTTGATACTGACTCTGGTGTTGAATAGGACTGATTTAATTTGAAATAATATCCAACAACTTCAACAGATTTGTGAATGTCTAAACTTATATTACACATGATTACTTAAAGCTGGAGTACATAACTTTCAGACCACAAACAACAGAACTATATAAGACAGTGTTATTGTGTGTCTCTGAGTAGTTTGATCCTGGGTCACGTCTTGTTTAAATCAGATCAGTGTAAGATGGAGGACCTCGGGGTCAGAGAGGTTTCTACACGTCTGCTCAAGAGGTTTTAACAAGAACACATTAACACGTTGTTTTTGGTCTGATTTGTTTAAAGCATTTTACTTTTACAAGACTCTTCCTGTTGGTTCAAAAATATGTGTTATTTGTGAAACAGAAAAGTTACAGTTATGTGTGATTTTGAGGCTTTTCTGACGTCTTTAGCCAAATGATGGAGATTGATGAGAAGATTATTTAAGATAAAATAAACCTTTATTAGTTTCACAGTGGAGAAATGTCAGTGTTTTATTGTTTTCATGTATCGATCTCTACAATGCACATTCACAAACATCTATAGAGTAAATATGACTTTATATGACCTGTTGCCAATGGGCAGGAAACACAAAGATTATATTAATATAATAAACTTAGTTATTAAACTTATTACATTTATAGATGAATGATGCATCTACGTGACCTTCTCATCGGAGGAAGACACAGTCTTCTTGATGGTTCTGAAGTGTTTTGTTCCAAAAGGAAAATGTCTCCTGTGATCAAACAATGATTTATTATGTATAAAATCCTAAAATACAACTATTATAATAACTCTAGTAACACTGTATTATCACAACTTCAGGATTCATCCTGATGGAGTTATTCTAAATCTTGGTGAGACCCTTTAAACCAACAGTATATATTATTTTTATATTTCCTTTGCCTTTTGTAAACACTGGAGTGAAGTTTCACCGTCCTCCATGATGACATCATCACTAAGAGACAAACAGAAACTTTTGTTGTGAGTCACAGCAGGAGGCGCTGACTCAGTCTGCAGCAAAACTCAGAGTTTCAGCGACAAATAAACTCACATGAAGTAAAACCACAACATTTCCTCAGGTTTTGTCTTGAAACAATCCAGCGGCTGTCGCTCAATTCTTCAGACGTAAAACTGATCTCAAATACACCACCTTCCTCTGGTCATGCTGTTTTTAACTGACAACTTACTTTTACTTGATATTAAAGTATTATTATGTTACACCTCCTGCTTTGATCGTCATTGGTTTTGCCACAGATCGACTTTTCTTCAATCAAATCCATTCCATGTGTTTTGGTAAAACCCTAAATCATAAGTGCAGTCGTCTCAGAGGACTTTACAAAGTTGTCGATTCTTCAACAACAGTTTAAACACAGACAGGATCCTTTGGTCCATAGGAGTGGAACCAGTGTACGTATATGTTTATATATGTTTATATATGTTTATACATGGTTATAAATGTTTATAAATGTTTATATATGTTTATACATGGTTATACATGTTTATAAATGTTTATAAATGTTTATACATGGTTATAAATGTTTATATGTTTATACATGGTTATAAATGTTTATATATGTTTATAAATGTTTATAAATGTTTATATATGTTTATATATGTTTATATATGTTTATATATGTTTATATATGTTTATATATGTTTATACATGGTTATAAATGTTTATAAATGTTTATATATGTTTATACATGGTTATAAATGTTTATAAATGTTTATATATGTTTATACATGGTTATAAATGTTTATAAATGTTTATATATGTTTATACATGGTTATAAATGTTTATAAATGTTTATAAATGTTTATACATGGTTATAAATGTTTATAAATGTTTATATATGTTTATAAATGTTTATAATTGTTTATATATGTTTATACATGGTTATAAATGTTTATATATGTTTATAAATGTTTATATATGTTTATATATGTTTATACATGGTTATAAATGTTTATAAATGTTTATATATGTTTATAAATGTTTATAAATGTTTATATATGTTTATAAATGTTTATATATGTTTATATATGTTTATACATGGTTATAAATGTTTATATGTTTATATATGGTTATAAATGTTTATATATGTTTATATATGGTTATAAATGTTTATAAATGTTTATATATGTTTATACATGGTTATAAATGTTTATAAATGTTTATTAATTTTTATATATGTTTATAAATGCTTATAAATGTTTATAAATGTTTATAAATGTTTATATATGTTTATACATGGTTATAAATGTTTATATATGTTTATAAATGTTTTTTTTTAATAATAATATTTTTATTTGCTTTTAACATTATAAAACAGACAGACATTGACAACACCACTGAGCAGACCACCACAAATCAAAACAAAATACACAATTATAAGTCGTTGCAATATGTTACACTGGCATGTATTGAATCCTTTAAGAATAAAAAGTAAAATTTAATTTAAAGAACCCGAACCTCTCATAATAGTAATCTTCAGATGAGAAGGCAAATGATTTATAAGAGGCTGCCATGTTTCAGTGAACAGTGAACACTATCTCCCTTCAGCACTGATTCTTTCCATAGGAAGCACATTAAACATTCCTCCATACCGCTCTGTAACTGTCGGAGGATTGTCTTTGATCCAATTATTTAGAAGACATTTTTTAGCCAAGGAAAGGAACTTTTTAAATAATTCTAAATGAGGGTATCTATTTTTAGTTGGTAAATCGTGCCAATTTTTTTAGTAATGTTAGACCAAAATGTGCCTATTTTGGGACAATTCCAAAAGCAATGCATAAAGGTAGCGGGTGACTGTAAACACTTAAGACAAGCTGAAGATCTATTAGGATCCGTTTTGTTAAGAACATAAGGAGTTCTATGCTGCCTGTGGAACATTTTAAAATGCATTTCTCTGTACTTATTACTAAGAAAAACGGCTTAAATATTGTTTATGGATTTTTGCCGCTCATCTTCAGTAAATGTGCACTGAAGATCTTCCTCAAAACAATTTTCTCTATTCCATCTTTCATAGTGCTTTGTAACATACTGTAACAACGTGAAATAAAACCTTTTGACGGTTTACATGTAATCATAAATAACTCAATTGGATTCAACAAGGCATTGGTTTGCATTTGACAATTGAAGAATGCAAAAAAGTGTTCTTGGAAAGGTTAAAATGACCCTGTACCTGAGCAAAAGACATAAGATTACTCCTTCATCATAAAGATCTTTGATCACACGAATTCCCTTTTTATACCAATCTGTAAAACACTTTTAACACCAGGGGGGTACAACCTACTGTCCACAACAGGCAAAACTGGAGATACGTTGCTCTTATGTCCCAAATAAGCAGACATGTCCTTCCAGGTTTTCAGATAATTTATCAAAATTGGATTGGTCCGCATCTCTGGCTGAATCTTCTTGGCCAGCATTTCCCCCAGAAGATTGTATGGTGTAGACATCCAGGATTCCAAAGGGTCTGTGAGTCCATTCAGATAAGACTGAAACCATTCCCGGACGACCCTGCCTTGACAAGCCCAGTTGTATAAAAGAATGTTAGGAAAACCCTCCTCTGTCTCTTGGACACTGTAAAACACTCATCCTTAATCTAGATTTATCCTTCCAAATAAATTTACTCAAGTCTCTCTCAATCTCTTTAGCTTTTGTTTTAGACAAATAAACAGGTAACATTTGTAATGGGTACAAAAGTCTTGGGATTACATTCATTTTTAACAGGTTGATTCTGCCCATCCATGATATTGGCAAATCCCTCCATCTGAGCAGGTCACTTTTAGATATTTTTACACACATTCTGAAGATTCACTTTAAGGGTAGTTTCTATACGTGGGGAAACAAAAATTCCCAAGTATGAAAAACCTGAGATCGACCATGTAGATGGGAAATTAGGTAACGAGGGAAGACCATCATAACCAAGAGCGAAGTTTTATTTTTATAGCCAGATAAAGGTGAAAATAAATCGATAGTCGTCATAAGCTCTGGAATGGATTTCTCTGGATCGGAAATGAACAAAAGCACATCTGCATAAAGTGCAATTTTATATGCCTTGCCATTCATCTCAAAACCAGAAGTATTTTCATTACATCTAATAGCCTGAGCCAGAGGCTCTATTGCCAGAGCAAACATGAATGATGAAATTGGATCACCCTGACGAGTAGATCTACCCAGTTGAAAGGATGAAGATTTAACACAAGCCATTGGAGAAAAGTACAAAAGTTTGACCACATTTATAAAATTATCACCCAATCCACATTTTTGCATGACCATGAAAAGATAAGGCCACTCGACCCGGTCGAAGGCCTTCTCCGCGTCAAGAGAGACAATCATTTATTTTTTACTGTTATGTTTTGTATATTGGATTAAAATAATAATAAAAGATGTCTTGTGTTTTATAAAACCTGTCTGATCTTTGTTGATTCATAACCTCTTGGTCAATATTTTAGACAGAACTTTACTGTCAACGTTTATTAAACTCACAGGCCTATATGAACTACATTTATCACTAGGTTTATCTTTAATAATACAGAAATGTTTGCTGAGTATAAAGATGGAGGCAAAGAGCCCTGTTGCAAAGAGTGCACATGTTCAACAAGAGAGGGTTAACTAAATCATGGAAAGTAAAACGCAGTGCCATATCCATCTGGCCCCGGGCCTTTGACTTAGGCAGGGATCTTATGGCACAAGTCATTTCTTCTTTAGTAATTTGATCCCAAGAGTCAGTCTATGTTCTTCTGACAGGATAGGGAGGTTAAAGCCATTCAGAAAGTCTTCAATTTGACTGTTAGAACTTTTAAATTCTGAGGTATATCATTTTGTGTAGAATGATTTCATTATTTCAATCAGTTTTTTAGAATCATAGTGATTTTTACCATTTATATCTTGGAGAGTAGAAACTGACTGTATTTCCCGTCGACCAGCTGCTTAGCGAGCTAATGGACGGCCTGGTTTGTCTCCCATTTCGAATAATCTGTGTCTTGCATAGAGTAAACTTGCTTCAGCTTTTTGGATAAAAGTTGGTTGAGAGCTGAACGAGTTACATCCAGCTCTCTAGACAGACGGGGAGATGGATTTGTTTTCATGAATTGATCAAGTGCCTTGAGCTGTGTTTCTAACTCCAGTTGGACTTTCAACGCTTCCCTCTTTCTTGCAGAGCTATAAGAAATTATAACACCCCTAACATATGCTTTCAATGTATCCCATAGAATTGAGGCATTAGTATCTTCATTATTATTAAAAGCAAGACATTCTTTTATCTGTTTTAGTTGAATGTGTTAAAACAATGATGCGTTTAGCCGCCATTGACGTGATGTTAGTGGAGGAGAAGGAGCAACACCAAAGTAACTTCACTGTGGTCAGAGTAAGCTCCTCTGTTACTCCTCACTTCTGTCAAGATCATTTCTGGGAGAGAAAAAATAGTCAATTCTGGAGTGACTGCGATGGGGTTAGAATAGAAACTATAATCTCTTTCTGTTTAATTACTCTCCAAGTGTCCAGCAGCTGGAGGTTTAGCTGAAGGGGGCTGGTCCTCCGGCGCCATCGGTTTAGCTGAAGGGGACTGGTCCTCCGGCGCCATCGGTTTAGCTGAGGGGGACTGGTCCTCCGGCGCCATCGGTTTAGCTGAAGGGGACTGGTCCTCCGGCGCCATCGGTTTAGCTGAGGGGGACTGGTCCTCCGGCGCCATCGGTTTAGCTGAGGGGGACTGGTCCTCCGGCGCCATCGGTTTAGCTGAGGGGGACTGGTCCTCCGGCGCCATCGGTTTAGCTGAGGGGGACTGGTCCTCCGGCGCCATCGGTTTAGCTGAGGGGGACTGGTCCTCCGGCGCCATCGGTTTAGCTGAGGGGAACTGGTCCTCCGGCGCCATCGGTTTAGCTGAAGGGAACTGGTCCTCCGGCGCCATCGGTTTAGCTGAGGGGAACTGGTCCTCCGGCGCCATCGGTTTAGCTGAGGGGGACTGGTCCTCCGGCGCCATCGGTTTAGCTGAGGGGGACTGGTCCTCCGGCGCCATCGGTTTAGATGGAGGGGACTGGTCCTCCGGCGCCATCGGTTTAGATGGAGGGGACTGGTCCTCCGGCGCCATCGGTTTAGCTGAGGGGGACTGGTCCTCCGGCGCCATCGGTTTAGCTGAGGGGGACTGGTCCTCCGGCGCCATCGCTTTAGATGGAGGGGACTGGTCCTCCGGCGCCATCGGTTTAGATGGAGGGGACTGGTCCTCCGGCGCCATCGCTTTAGATGGAGGGGACTGGTCCTCCGGCGCCATCGGTTTAGCTGAGGGGGACTGGTCCTCCGGCGCCATCGGTTTAGATGGAGGGGACTGGTCCTCCGGCGCCATCGGTTTAGCTGAAGGGGGACTGGTCCTCCGGCGCCATCGGTTTAGCTGAAGGGGGCTGGTCCTCCGGCGCCATCGGTTTAGCTGAAGGGGGCTGGTCCTCCGGCGCCATCGGTTTAGCTGAAGGGGGGCTGGTCCTCCGGCGCCATCGGTTTAGCTGAAGGGGGCTGGTCCTCCGGCGCCATCGGTTTGCTGAAGGGGACTGGTCCTCCGGCGCCATCGGTTTAGCTGAAGGGGACTGGTCCTCCGGCGCCATCGGTTTAGCTGAAGGGGACTGGTCCTCCGGCGCCATTGGGCAGTTGAAGTCTCCTGCTAAAATACTAAACGTTTGTGTCATTTTAGAAGCATCTGCCAAAAGTTTAGAATAAAAGTCTTTCTCATAAACATTGGGAGCATAAACACAGCCTATAAAAATGTGTTCCCCTATAAATAACCTGTTATTAGCACGTATCTACCCTGATTGTCTTTTGTGCATTTATCTAAAGTAAACGGGGTATTTTTATTAATAAGAACAGCCACTCCTCTCTTACTAGAGGAGAATGAAGAGTAAAAGATCTGCCCAACCCAGTCTCGCTTAAGCTTTTCCTGTTCCTTGTCAGTAAGGTGGGTTTCTTGCAACAAAGCAATATTTGTCTTTTCTTTTTTTAGCCAGGTTAACAGTTTTTTGCGCTTGACTACATTATTGACACCTTTTACGTTGAAAGAAGTATATTTAATTGTACCCATTATACTTCACTAAAGTAATATAAGTAATAAATAAAATATAATTCACATTAATATTCACATAACATACAACATAAAGAGTCTGCTCAGTGTAAAGAAATAACTCGAGTGCCAAAAACACGCACTCACAAACACAACACAACACTCAAACATACCAACAGAGGGTAAAGTAACGCCCCTCATATAAAAAGTCTTCAAACTCCGAGATACCAAGAGAAGGCAGAGCAAACTGCAAGCGCTGGTACAGTCCTCACCTGCGCCCACTCACTCCTGACTCTTCACCTGCAGTTACTCACAGGAGGCCTCCTGCTCCATAGTGTCTACGATGGCTATCAAAACAGTACTCTTTCTTGTTAAGTGAAAACGCGAGGATCGCTGGGTACTTCATCCGGAACCTGATGTTTTTGGCGATGAGCTTCTGGCGTACGGTGTTGAACGCTCTTCTTTGCTGGACAATATTTTGAGGGAAATCCTGACGTATAGTGATTGTAGCTCCTTCCCATGTCAATTTGCGCCCCGCGCACAGTGATAGCACTCTCATTTTATCTGCCGGATAATGTAGCTTCATGATCACGGGCCTGGGAGTATCTGGTCCGAAGTGACCAGCACCCCCCGTCCGGTGACATCTGTCCAGCACAAGACGGCCTTTGGGGGCGTCAAAGTTGAGCTACTTGGGTAGCCACGTTTCAAAGAAGGATAGAGCATTCCCTTTTTCAAATCCCTCTTTCACCCCGTAAATCCTGAGGTTGTCTCTGCGTTCTCTTGCCTCCTGGTCGTCCAGTCTTCCAGCCATTGGCGCCAATTTCTTCTCTGCATTCGCCAGCTCCTCCAGCTCCTCCACGCTCTCCTCTGTGACAGCAATGCGCTGCTCAGCTGCGTCCAAACGCAGAGATTCGGCATCTAGCTTAGCATTAATCGTGTCGAGCTTGTTGGAGACCTCCGTTATCTTCATGTCTAACACAGCCACAATCTTGTCGGTGATTTTGTTTGACACTGCAATCAAGTCCTCCTGCGTGCATGGTTTAGTGCTGTCTGAGCTAACGCTACCTGCACTAGCCCGTGTAGCCTCGCCACCTTCGCCATCTTTGGACTCGACCACATGCGGGTTGGTTTTATGAAGATTTCTCCGTCTTTCGACGTTCTTCACGGCCCTTCTTTCCCAGACATGACAGCGGACGTTTACCTTTCGGCTGCACGTGCATATAGCTGTAAACACAGCTTAAATGTATAACTTTATCAGTATGTCGGCCGGGAGCTCTCTGGCCCTGCTCCTCTCAGTCTGACGTCATCACCGGAAGTCCATGTTTATAAATGTTTATAAATGTTTATATATGTTTATATATGTTTATAAATGTTTATATATGTTTATATATGTTTATAAATGTTTATATATGTTTATATATGTTTATAAATGTTTATATATGTTTATATATGTTTATAAATGTTTATAAATGTTTATAAATGTTTATAAATGTTTATAAATGTTTATAAATGGTTATAAATGTTTATATATGTTTATATATGTTTATACATGGTTAGAAATGTTTATAAATGTTTATAAATGTTTATATATGTTTATACATGGTTAGAAATGTTTATACATGGTTAGAAATGTTTATACATGGTTAGAAATGTTTATTAATGTTTATTAATGTTTATAAAAGTTTATATATGTTTATATATGTTTATATATGTTTATAAATGTTTATATATGTTTATACATGGTTAGAATTTTTTATAAATGTTTATAAATGGTTATATATGTTTATATATGTTTATATATGTTTATATATGTTTATAAATGTTTATTAATGTTTATTAATGTTTATAAATGTTTATATATGTTTATATATGTTTATATATGTTTATAAATGGTTATAAATGTCCCGGATCATTCCTGTCCGCCGACTCGACCTGCTTTGTAAAGGAACAACAATAAGTTTTGGTTAATTCTGAACAATAACACTCAAAAACAACAGAAAACCCAACAACAAAACAATAGTGAAACTTGCGTCACATCAAAGTCGTGTCAAAATATGTTCAAAACAATTCTAAGAAAAGGAAATCCCTTCGTTCGGCCCCTGACACCTCTGGTCTACACTGGTCCTTTCAGTACTTTGGGACCGATGAGTTGACAGATAAGTTTAAAAGTTGTAGGGACCAAAACTGCAGGTCTCAACTTTCACAAACAGAATGTCTTGTTTTGCCCATAATATTTGTTCAGTATTTTATGGACAAACTTCATCCAAAGATCACCCGAGGGAGACACAGGCACGTTTACTGTTTTAAGAATGTAACAGGGAGGTTTGACATGATGTAGATTAACCATCTATGCTCAAATACTGAGTAAACATACTCTGGGTGTGTATCCTTACTGCTCCCTGCTGGGGAAAGGTGGTATTACCCTTAAACATAATTACTATAGCCAAGATAACGCCACAGTTTAGTCATGTTTAATCTTTATTCCACTTTGGCAAATATAATGTTGTGTTTATCTATATAGTTATTCCCCAAACATGTATATATTATTTTGTATCTAATTTCTGAGCAGATCTGTACAGCGATCTATTCTCTGAGCTTTGTCTATTTACATGTTTTTCCACAGCCTCGCACCAAAGTACATCACACACATGTTAGTGCCATATGAACCAACTGGGACTCTGAGGAGCACAGGGACTGGCCGCCCTCTGGGACTCTGAGGAGCACAGGGACTGGCCGCCCTCTGGGACTCTGAGGAGCACAGGGACTGGTCTCCTGCTGGGACTCTGAGGAGCACAGGGACTGGTCTCCTGCTGGGACTCTGAGGAGCACAGGGACTGGCCTCCTGCTGGGACTCTGAGGAGCACAGGGACTGGCCTCCTGCTGGGACTCTGAGGAGCACAGGGACTGGCCTCCTGCTGGGACTCTGAGGAGCACAGGGACTGGCCTCCTGCTGGGACTCTGAGGAGCACAGGGACTGGCCTCCCTCTGGGACTCTGAGGAGCACAGGGACTGGCCTCCTGCTGGGACTCTGAGGAGCACAGGGACTGGCCTCCTGCTGGGACTCTGAGGAGCACAGGGACTGGCCTCCTGCTGGGACTCTGAGGAGCACAGGGACTGGCCTCCTGCTGGGACTCTGAGGAGCACAGGGACTGGCCTCCTGCTGGGACTCTGAGGAGCACAGGGACTGGCCTCCTGCCGGGACTCTGAGGAGCACAGGGACTGGCCTCCCTCTGGGACTCTGAGGAGCACAGGGACTGGCCTCCTGCTGGTCAGTAATAATAACAGGGCTTTTCAGAACACTCAAAGACGCTTCACGTCATTTTTGTGACTCACGGTGGTGATTCTTTACAGCACAGATGTTTGTTAAAGTGCTGAATATGATTTAATGAGGGGGATAAGGGCAGACACAAAGCTTTGCCTTCAGCCTGTGCCTGGTGCACAGACTTATTTATGCTTTAAGGTTTGTTTTGATTTAAACTGGAAGGACTGTGGATGACCAAACAACAATAAATGAAAAAAAATGAAGTGATAAACTAGCCACAGCTGCCCTGGGGCAAACTGACAGAAGCAAGGCAACAAGTATGTGTTGCTCTAGGTGCCCCACTGTGGCACCTGGTGTTCCCAGAGGTCTCCCATCTCAGTACTAACCAGGCCCTGACCTGCTTCAGAGGTCTGATGGAATCTAGCTCTCGTATTCAATTATCACCACAGTACTATTGGCCCCTCCCACCACCAATCATTCACCAGACTCTAGGCAGTGTGGCTGGAGTGTCTTGCCTATGGACACAAAGATGGGTTGGCTTTTTACAGCTGCCCCTGGTGCTCCATCACTGCACTGTCCAGGGCTTACCTTTCTTAGCTTCTGAGCTCACATTAGTCTCTCTCATGCATTTATAACAAGCAGCTTCATTTATGTGTTTACTTTTTAGTAACTGCTCCAAACAACACTTTTAAATCTTATTTTCTTCTTTTTTAACCATTTCTCTGCTTTTCTGTGGTGTTATAAAAGCCCGGCTTTGTGACAGGATTAGATATTAGTGAATGAGAGATTATTTGTCCTGGATGGAAAGGACAAACCACTGGCGCCCGGGGGGAGGGCTCGGGTTATTGTCCCGTGCAGTGACACCCATCGGAGGGTTTGGGTGTTCCCCTTCCCAGAGGTTTAAGATGTCAGACTGAGCCTTTGTCCCGCCCGGGTCCGGGAGGGTCCAGGAGGATCCAGGAGGATCCAGGAGGGTCCAGGAGGAGGGACTCTGACGGTCTTGGAGGACTCATTTGGGACTGAGCGGAGCTGACAAGGAGACTGCAGGGGCCGAGGCTAGTCTCAACCTGGTCCTGAACCTCCTGCACCAGGACAACATGTGGTAAGATTTTGTATAATAGTTAGAACCATGTATTTGTTTAAAGCTGAGGTCCATAACTTTAAACAGCAACATTAATGAACTCTGTAATGCACTCCCTGTGAACAGTCCTTGCTCTTGGTCTCCAGTTTTCACATTTAGTGATATATTTTTATTTGTCTTTAGATCAGTGACAAAGACCAGCCTCAGTCTCAGAGGTCATGGGTCAAACTCTGACTTCTTTACATGAATTAAGAATAGAAACATTTATTCAGCTTCAGACTCACTGTGTTCGTCTTTTGAGTAGTTTTAACAGTAGTTTCTCACAGGACTTTACCAAACCATTTAATTATCCAACACAGATTAAAAACACACAGAGTTTAGGTCCATAAGAGACAGAGACCCATGTCCCAAAATGTAGATTATTGTCCCAAAATGTAGATTATTGTCCATAAATGTTGTTAGTTTTCAAAGACTATTGGGACAAAATTAAAATAATAATTATGAAATACAAAGTTAGATACCTCAGCTTTAATCAGTCCATAATTGGAACTTGCTTGTGACAGATTTTTAGAGATGTGTATTTAAAGTGTTTAATAGATATAGATAAACTAAACACAAACTTATGTGTTTGGATGTTTTTAGTTTAAATATCTGTAATTTAGTAAGTTATAAATTAAAACATTTCTAACAAAGTGCTCCTCAAACATTAATCTGCTCATGATGTTTTACAGACTGTTTTTCTGACACAAACCTAATCATTAAATCATTATCTTTCATTTCAATAAATCCTTCAGGTTTTATTGACAACTAATATTTATGGAGATTTCATTTTATTACAATTTGTCGAAAGCTCGAGCCAGTTTAATAATTAACAATTTTCTTCAGATATTTCAGAATCTCATCTTCATCTTAATCTCAATATGGATTAGAATGTTTTATCATTAAAATAGATTCACACTCTACAATTAAAACTACAGTCAGAACCTTTAAAAACATGTTAATAAAACTCTTTCTAATATTTTAATAAAACTCTAATATTTTTCCTAATATGAGCAGCCTTTCTGTATGTTTTCATGTTTTTATGTGGTTCCCTTTGTTCCCGTTTGTGACGCAGTGAAAGAAGTTTATCTCTGAATCTGATCCTGGACAATCCCACATTTGTTAAAAATCACAAACGCATCATTTACAGAAAACAACAAAGACGTCCCAGAAATACAGTGTTTTCCGACTGTGACGTTGCCGTGGTGATCCCTAAATAAAACATTTCTCTGTTTATGAGGAGCATGTCCTGATGTCACTGAAACTGTTCAGATTTGACCCAAACGTGATGTTAAAGTGTGGTCCAGAGGCATCAACTCCTGTGGCTTTAAACATCATGTCATAAAGAAGATAAACTTATATAAAGAATATAAATCATGGTAACACTTTATAATAACTACACCTTATTTAGGCTTAATAAATGTTTAAATAACTCTTAGTTAATCATGAACAATTCATTAATTAAGTGTGAAAAACACTTAAAAACTACTTAACTACTACAGTTAATAAATGCTTACCTAATAATGAATACATCTTCAAGTACTTCACTTGTTCATGATTATTTAATAATTATGAAGTAATGGTTACTTCATTGGTACTAAATATATAGATGATTTTTTACACCATGATTAAACCACATGTGATTAATAATTGTATACTTCATTATAAACTAATACTGCAGTGCATGATTTATTCAATCAGTTACTAACAGTTAGTTAAGAGTTTTTGTGAGCTTTTGTAAAGTGTACACTATTTTCACTTTATTACACATTTGTTCAAGACCCTTTAATATAACAATTAATCATTTGTTAATACTGCAGTGCATGACTTATTAGTCAGTTACTAACAGTTAGTTGAGAGTCTTTGTGAGAAAAAACACAAGGATGACTAACGCTTTTGTATAACAATAATAATCCATGAGACATGAATACAGAATATATACTTATCTTTTAAATTGCTTTACAAAGCTATAACAGGGCCATAACAATGATAAAATTAAAAGGCCTCCATATTGGCCCCATTAATTAAATACACATATTTGCAAAACATGCACAAACATATATTAACATTAAAAATCTAATTCAAGTAACACAGGGAGAACACTGTAAAGAATGGAGAGGTTCTTTTATGGTTGGGGACACTATCGACAGAATCTTCAATCAGCTGTGTTTCAGGTTTGGCAGGAGATCACAGTTTGTACTTTGTATGCTGAGGAAACAGAAATAGACAAAGGAAAAAAGTATTCATAATTATTCTATAGCAAATAACACATTAAACAACCAATACTTATGTGTCTGGGCAAGTAGGAACTAAAATAAGTCATAAAAATAATCAAATGGAAACTATCATTACAAAGGTGCAGGAAAATAAATATGACAAATAATATTAGAATAATTAGCTTGATGTAGCATAGTTAGCTTGATTAGCTGCAGACAAACACAACAAGTCAAATAGTGACTGTTTCTGTTGGGATAAACATCAACTATTATTATTTAAACAAAAATTGGGTGCCCCAGCTTTAAATGCGTGTTGTGTTAGAGTGAGTGGTGTCGGCAGCCTCTTCTCTGAGTTTGCCCCAGGGCAGATGTGGCTACAGTGGAAACAGTCACATGGCAAAGTGTGTTATACAGAAAATCAAATGTCTTTCAAACTCCAATCTCAATGAAGTGAAATTGGATCATTTCAAAAAAGCTCAACATCCACTGCATCCACAGCATCCACAGCATCCACAGCATCCACAGCATCCACAGCATCCACAGCATCCACAGCATCCACAGCATCCACAGCATCCACAGCATCCACAGCATCCACTGCATCCACAGCATCCACAGCATCCACAGCATCCACAGCATCCACAGCATCCACAGCATCCACAGCATCCACAGCATCCACAGCATCCACAGCATCCACAGCATCCACTGCACCCTGGTTGAGTAAAGCCCTGGTTTAGGCCAAAATAATGAGGCTATATCGTCTGACAAAGTCTCGGTGCCGGAGCAGGACAAGAGGAGGCAGGTTTGGTGTCAAAGGATCATCAAGTTAGAAACAAAATCCTTCAAACTATTGTTATAAACGACATACGACCACAAAGCCATAAGGGTAATGTATACTGCACAAATAGGGCAAAGGACACTGTAGGAGCCATGTCCAAGGTTTACAGACTTTAGACCTAATCCCACAAAGAGAATAACAAGAGAATCCAAGAGAAATAACTGTATATTTGTGTTTGTTCACAGGCTTCTTCTGCTGCTCTTCTCGTGTCTAAGGCTGAGTCAGGCCGGTGAGGAAACCTTTCTATACTGTTTATCTGATATGTATTCAAATGTAAAGAAATATTCATAGAAAATATACCTTTTTTAAATAATTAATTCATTTATATTTGATTTATCAAACTTGTTGTTGCTTGTAACACCTTTTAAGACATTTTTAAAGTACCTTTCCAAAGTAGTGATGTGTAACTTGGCCTTGTAGTGTCAATTTCTTGTCTCCATAGAAGACGGATAACTTTCATGAAACGCAAAAATAGGGCAGCTTTCAATAAAAAGAGTTGGCTTTTTGTCAAAAGTGAAAAAACCATCGTGCGATTAATGTGTTAAACAACAATCCCTGTTTCTCTAATATCTCGCTCATTCTATGATGTATTAGTTTCACAAACACAGATCTATTCATTTAAAACTTGTGCATATTTTTAACATCAAACCAAATAAGCAGGAAAGTTAAGGCAAAATATTGTGTATTTCGAATGTGAAATTGAATCTGGGGAGCAAATTTATGAAATATGACATCGATAAGCGTTAAGAGAATTAATTTGGAAGGGGAAAGTTGATATGAAAATATGGATGTGTCAAGGTCTGAAGATGAAGAGGCTGTGGAAGGGGTGATGGAGAGAGGTGTTTGTGTGTGTGACTTGGGAGATCCCAGAGATGTGATCAGTCATGAAGGATATGACGCTGGGATGTAGTAATAGAATGATTGTGACTCCATCTTAGGCAGGTTAGGGTTAGGGTTAGGGTTCTGAGTGAGAGTCATTCAGTGTTTGCCAAATGCAGAAGGAACATCAACTGGAGCTGGAGCCAATGTTCTTATATGAGTATTTGTAAAGTGGGCTTAGAAACAAATACTCGGTAAATGAGCTTTAATAGAGTTTACTTTTAAATGTTAGTCAATAGGATCCAGAGAGAGTTGGAGCAAAACTTTGTCCATGAGCACTTCCATCCATCCATCCGTTTTCTACCCCTTAATCAAATCAAATTAAATCAAATCAATTTTATTTGTGTGAAATCACAACAACAGTCGTCTCGAGGGGCGTCACAGAACCACCAACTCCCAACGGCTGTGGACCAGTCCTCAGGTCCAGGGAGTCAGGGTGCGAGTCCCACCAGCCCGTCATGAAACAGAGGGTCAACAGCTGAACAGTAATGCACAAACAAAATGTAAGCATTTATGACAAATTAACTGAGAAAAAAATAAAAATCAAAAATTGATTTCTGGGTCGGGGGTGGCAGTCAGAGCTGCACCCAGTCCACAGAGCACCAGCCCCTCACTGATCCTCCTGCAGGTGCTGAGTCCACAGGGGCCTTGATTATTCAGCAGGGGCTTCAGGCAAAGTGGGGTTAAGTGTCTTGCCCAAGGACACAACGACAGCAGTCATCAGTGGGAGTCGTGAAGTAGGTCTTGTGGTGGATTCAAACCCGTAACCTTTAGACTCGAAGACCAATGCTCTACCAACTGAGCCACTGACTGGGTTAGCGTTGTCCTTCCGTGGGAAACCTTCTCTCATTGTGGGCCTTTGTGGGTCTCTCTCTTTTTTGGGTTTTTAACTGTTCGTCACTGATGCAGCAGGGTCTAAGAAAAGAAATGATTCATCTCGGAACATTTAAAGACATTTAAAGACATTTAAGAATATTTAAGAACATTTAAAAACATTTAAGAACATTTATGAACATTTAAGAACATTTAAGAACATTTATGAACATTTATGAACATTTATGAACATTTATGGACAGTGATCATTCAGCACCAAATGTTTGTTTGTTATTATTGCATTTTCTGTGTTCCAACAGTTTAATTCCAACTGTTGTTGGCGAAGTCCACCGAGATTACTGCAGTTTTGATTTAGGATTGAATTGATTTGAGTCAATACAAGTTTCATGAGTCTTTGAAATGATGTCTGACTGTTTTCTTCTTTCCTAGAGTTGAAACCTGAAGAATGTGCCAATGCCGGCGTGGTGTGCAGCCCACTGGCTGAATGCATGAAGATCAGGTCTTCGCAGTCGCAGTACGTGTGCGTGTGTCCAATAGGATACCAGGGCGATGGGACATCCTGTGACGACATTGACGAGTGCTCCAGCGGCCTCCACAACTGCAACTCCAAAGGCTGGTGCAACAACACTCTGGGCAGTTACAACTGTCAGTGTCTGGACGGATACTTTGGAGACGGAAAGAACTGCCAAGACATCAACGAATGTGAAAAGGAGAACGGTGGATGCCACGAAAATGCTGTCTGCACCAATAATGAAGGAGGAAGAACATGCAAATGTAAAAGTGGTTTTAGCGGGAATGGCTTTGCCTGCACGGATAGGAATGAATGTGCGAACGAGCGAATCTGTCACTGGAATGCAACGTGCACAAACAGTCCAGGGTCCTACGTGTGCACGTGTAACGGCGGCTACAAAGGCAACGGGAACTACCTCTGCCTGGACGTGGACGAGTGCTCGGAAACGCCTCAGATTTGCTCGCAGTCTCTTGGATACAGAGGGTGTAGAAACCTCCCAGGGACCTTCCAGTGCATCTGCAGCACTGGCTTTGAAAGCGCCAGAGGAATATGTGTGGATGTGGATGAATGCACCACCCAAAGATGCAGTTTGTATGCCCAGTGTCAGAATACACGAGGATCTTTCACCTGCACATGCAATAACGGGTTTGTGGGAAATGGCGTGACCTGCGTTGACAAAGACGAATGTAACGATGGAACAAACGACTGTGATCCAGACGCTGCTTGTATAAACAGGCTCGGATCCTTTGACTGCTCCTGCCGCGTTGGTTTTCTTGGAAATGGACGAGTGTGCGAGGATATAAATGAATGTGACGTGCTGGACACCTGCCCTTCGTTCACAGATTGTAAAAACACACCCGGATCATACTACTGTGATTGTGGAGAAGGTTATGTCTTCAATACATCGAAGTGCGTTGATGAGAATGAGTGTGAGACAGGACGGTGTAGCCCTGATGCCAACTGTCAAAACACAGATGGTTCCTTTAGTTGCAATTGTAAATCAGGCTATAATGGAGACGGCTTTAATTGTGTGGACATAAACGAGTGCTCACTTGCTCTCCAATGTCACCCTAAAGCCGTTTGCCGTAACTTACCTGGCTCCCACAACTGCACCTGTGGAGTTGGCTATCAAGGAGACGGGGTCATCAGGTGCAGCGATGTAGACGAATGCAAAGTGGACAATGGTGGGTGCAAAAACAAAGCCCTCTGTGTGAACACTGAGGGATCTTTCTATTGCGTTTGCCCATCAGGATTTTCCCTTATCAATAAAACGTCTTGCCAGGACATTAACGAATGCGAGGAACTTGAGAATCCATGTCCAGGAAAGAATGAACAGTGCAACAACTTTGATGGATCGTACGAGTGCCTTTGTAACACGGGATACTATCGCCCTGCGCAAGATGGAGGCTGTGTTGATGTGGACGAATGTGGAAACAAGCCATGCCACGCCAACGCAACATGTCTGAACACTGTAGGATCCCACACATGTACCTGTACTCAAGGGTTTGAAGGCAACGGCACCACATGCACTGACACAGATGAGTGTTCAGAAGACAAAAGTACTTGCCATCCTTATGCCACGTGTACTAACTCACTCGGCAGTTTCACTTGCTCTTGCTTGGAAGGATTTGTGGGCGATGGAATCGAGTGTAAAGACGTAGACGAATGTATCGATGACAGGCGGTGTCCAAGTTTTTCAGTCTGCATCAATTCCCCCGGAGCGTCTGTGTGCTCATGTTTGAACGGCACAATCGCGCTCAACAACACCTGCGTTGCCCAAAGTCAAGAGTGCGAGCCGGCGTGTCATTTCAAAGGACTCTGCCACCCCTCGCCCGCTGGCTATCAGTGCGTCTGTGACAAAGGCTACACGGGCACTGGGGTGAGCTGCTCAGACGTGGACGAATGCCAGGTGGAAAATATCTGTCCCAAAAATGAGACTGAGTGTGTGAATATGGCCGGGTCCTATTCCTGTGTATGCAGACAAGGATTTATTCAAAATGGCTCCTCATGCTTCGGTAAGTCCTGGTGAAAATACTGTTGACTGGGTCTTTCATTGATAAGCCTGACTGATATTAAAGCTGGAGTACCTAACTTTGAAACCACACAGTTCCTAGCTCTCAAAACTGTTTTTTTTAGTGGTTTTAACATCTTTAGATCAGATTTTTCAGTGATAGACCTGTTTCAGCCAATCAGCTCTCAGCTCACAGATCAAAGTTACAGCTATAGTTATAGCTTTCTTTTGGCACAAACAGGTATTTATGAATCAAAACAAAAACCTTTAAGTGCTCCAGATGGGTCAGGATCCAAAGTAAACAGTGACAAAATAAATGATCCCTTTCTGATTTCACTGCTTCCAAAACAATAAAGCCAGTATTTTCAGATTAGAAGTGTTTCTGTGAAGAAGCATAATTGTCTCTTTTCTCTGTTATAGATCGAGACGAGTGCGACGAGGGACAAAGCGACTGCAGTGACTTTGCCAGATGCGTCAACACCATCGGGAGCCACAGCTGCTTCTGTCTCAACGGTTTCACTGGAGACGGCAAGAACTGCACAGGTGAGCCACATCTCTGTCCACTGGGTCATTTCAAAGAGAAAGATTGGTAACGCTTTATATTAAGGTGTGCTTGTTAAGTATTAATAAGGTATTAATAGACAATAGCATCATGCTTATAGATTGCTTATATGTACTTATAAACATATTAATAAGCTGCTCATTTCACTATTCTCTAAATGATGTTGTTCTAGTTATACGCTTTTAAGCATTTAATAAGTAATTAGTAAAATACATTTATATATTTATAAATATATGAATAAGCTGCCTATTAAACTATTATCGATACCATGTTAATAGGCCATTAACAATATGCCTATAAAGATATTAATAAGCTGCTTATTAATAGGTAATAGTGGTAATAGGCCACTAAAATATGCGTTAATAAACTGCTTATTACACTATTTTGCAGAACCCTAATCTAAAGCGAGGAGCATTTGTATTAATGCAGAAAAAAACACAACATTGATCTAAGATGTTTTTATTTATTCAAACAGCAACAATGAAAAAAAAAATCTAAATGAAGTTTGTGCCAAAAGTTTGTTAGTAACTTCAGGAGCCATGATGAACCCACTCATGCTCCGACCTGCTCTGTTCATGAATTTGGCTTTGGCAAAACAGTGAATCAGCTGACTTCACGAGAGATTAGCGGAACTCGCCTATTTTTGGGCATCGTCTGGTCCTCCCGGTTCTGCGCAGTGGACGAGCTCCCATGATGCTTTGCGGCAAATACGCGTGTGTGGCTGTCATGCACGTGCACATAGGGGCAGCTCTGACCAATCAGAGCTGCTGATCAGAGCGAGAGTTAGAGCGAGAGTAAGAGCCAGACGAGTAGAGTTTGTGGCAGTAAAATGTGGATTTGAAGAAAACTGAAGGATTTAAGAAGAAAAAAAGTTCAGGATGACAAGGGACACTAAAATCCCCACAAAATCTGACCTTTATGAAAGCTGTAGGTTCTCTGTCAGGTTCTCTGTCAGCTGAGGTGGAGCTGTTTTAGTTTACATTGAGTTCTATGGGACAATTTCTGGGTAGCCCACGTGACTTTAGTCTGCAGTACCACGAGAATCCCCCGAGCTACAAGCTAGTAATACCCTATCCAGTTATTATAATAGCTCCATGTATACAACGCACCTGTGGCACAACCATGGAACTATAATAATAACTGGATAGTGTATTCCTAGCTTATAGCTGTCCCACCCATGGGCACAGGGGGCGCTGTGGTACTGCAGACTAAATTCACAAGGGCTACCCAGAAAAAGTCCCATAGAACTCAATGTAAATTAAAACAGCTCGACCTCAGCTGACAGAGAACCTGACAGAGAACCCACAGCTTTCATAAAGTTCGGATTTTCTGGGGATTTTAGTGTCCCTTGTCATCCTGAACTTTTTTTCTTCTTAAATCCTTCAGTTTTCTTTAAAGTGGTTCTCCCCCCCGCTCCTCGGAGCTTACGTCACTCACATTTCCTGTTCAAATCTTCCTCTAAATGGGCGTAGCCTGGAGGACTAAAGGGGGCGTGAACGAGACTGGGCCGTTTATATAGCTCTGGGCGGGGGGCTGCTGACGTCAGGTCTCAGGCGCCAGGTTCAAAATTCAAATGTAGTAATACAGGTCGCCAGCAGATGGCGCCTCACAGATGGTTTTAGGCAGAAAGTCTAACTTTCAACTAATTTGCACCAAAGTGACAAAGTTATGACCAGGATATGTAGACAACACTATTGGACACTCATTTATACCGTTTATCAGAAAAAAAAAAGTGGATTTGAGGGTGAGTTGTTCTTTAAATCCACATTTTACTGCCACAAACTCTACTCGTCTGGCTCTTACTCTCGCTCTAACTCTCGCTCTGATCAGCAGCTCTGATTGGTCAGAGCTGCCCCTATGTGCACGTGCATGACAGCCACACACGCGTATTTGCCGCAAAGCATCATGGGAGCTCGTCCACTGCGCAGAACCGGGAGGACCAGACGATGCCCAAAAATAGGCGAGTTCCGCTAATCTCTCGTGAAGTCAGCTGATTCACTGTTTTGCCAAAGCCAAATTCATGAACAGAGCAGGTCGGAGCATGAGTGGGTTCATCATGGCTCCTGAAGTTACTAACAAACTTTTGGCACAAACTTCATTTAGATTTTTTTTTTCATTGTTGCTGTTTGAATAAATAAAAACATCTTAGATCAATGTTGTGTTTTTTTCTGCATTAATACAAATGCTCCTCGCTTTAGATTAGGGTTCTGCAAAATAGTGTAATAAGCAGTTTATTAACGCATATTTTAGTGGCCTATTACCACTATTGCCTATTAATAAGCAGCTTATTAATATCTTTATAGGCATATTGTTAGTGGCCTATTAACATGGTATCGATAATAGTTTAATAGGCAGCTTATTCATATATTTATAAATATATAAATGTATCTTACTAATTACTTATTAAATGCTTAAAAGCATATAACTAGAACAACATCATTTAGAGAATAGTGAAATGAGCAGCTTATTAATATGTTTATAAGTACATATAAGCAATCTATAAGCATGATGCTATTGTCTATTAATACCTTATTAATACTTAACAAGCACACCTTAATATAAAGCGTTACCGAAAGATTATTTTATTTCATAGTTTATAATGTGAAATAGGCCCTATCCACACGAAGTCAAGCTCAGGCCTAAACGCAAAAATACTTTATCAATCCAGTGTATGGTCCATACGAGGCCGGCGTTTTGGGGGGGTGTAAACGAACATTTTTGAAAGTAGGTCCCAGAGTGGAAAGATTTCAAAACTCCGTATATGCCGCTCCGTGGTTACTGCCTCTCCGCAATGTATCTGAGACGCTTGCGTCATTGCCCCGCCTCTTGTTAAAGCAGCATGCGCCGCACACAGAAAATAATGACAACAACAATGTAGCTTGTTGGTTTTGTAATCCAGTGCGACCCGAAGCAACAGTTCAACCTCATCGTCCGTCCATACTAATGTAGTACCAGCTCGCCCACTCGCCATGTTGTCTGTTTACTAAATTCTGCGCATGCCCAGTTCCCGTCACAGAAGTTTGGGCTTGATCCCGTCATTGCGTCACAGCGCCACCAACAGGTCTGGCATAGTTTCACAGCGTTTTCAGGCGTATTGACTACATTCATATGGACGCACACATTTACTGAGCTAACTCCGTGTTTACAGAAAAAGTTTCTGAAATTATACGCGTTTTGTCTTCGTGTGGATATAGCCATAATATCTGAATTTTAATTTTAAAACAAGTAAAACAAATGCTCTCTGTCTGTAACTCCCTATGCTGCCACTGCTGGAGGAGTTGAGTTGGTTTTGTTTTTTTATTCCCAAATTTGTAAGTGACTATCTGCCACCACTGACCTGTGATAGCACAGACAGTCCTTTTCCTTTCCTAAATGAATGTACAGGAAATACTTTTGTTTTAAAGAAAACTGCTCTGAGTGTGATGTCATAGTGGTACAATGACATCATCCTATTATAGGAGACCATTTTAAAGGGGTGGAGTTACATGTTTGTGAATTCATTTTCTATCATTTTTGTGGCTATATAAAAAAAAAACTGTTTTTGACGAGAGAACAATGTGGTAACATGGTTAAAAAATCCAAAAACTACTTTTTTTTGTATATGCTTCCTTTAAGTGGATTGTGTTTAAGTTTTCTTTTAGCACACTTTGGGGCTGTTTCGCTGACACTGTCCCATTTTGGATGAATTATAGACGTGGATGAGTGCCAGGTCCAAAACGGAGGCTGCCACCCGACCGCCAGCTGCTCTAACGGGCCGGGAATCTTCAACTGCAGCTGTCCCGCCGGCACAGAGGGCGATGGCTTTGACTGCCGGGACATAGACGAATGCGACGGCAGCTCCTCTCGGCCGAACAACTGCAGCGCTCAGGCCGACTGCTTCAACCAGAACGGCTCCTACGGCTGCGAGTGTCACGACGGATACCAAGGGAACGGGTTCACCTGCGAGGATGTCGATGAATGCCAACTGGACACCACCTGCAGCAAAAACATGACTTGCCTAAACTTCCCAGGCTACTTCGCTTGCGCATGCGTTGTAGGTCAAGTTTACGGCGTCGGGACCTGTGTGAAGAACGAGACGTGCAGTAGTGCGTCTTCAGTGTGCCATGAACTTGCAGAGTGCTACCCCTTTCAAGGCTCTTTCTACTGCAAATGTAGAGATGGATATGAAGGAAATGGCACTTCCTGCTCAGATATTGATGAGTGCACCCAGCCTGACGAAGCCTGCCCTCAAAACTCCCTTTGCCTCAACATCAACGGCTCTTTCCAATGCATTTGTCACGACGGTTTTGTGTCCAACTCGACTGTATGTGAAGATGTAGACGAATGCGCCACAGGGAATTTCTCTTGCCCTGCAAATAGTACATGCTCCAACTTGGAAGGAAGCTACACGTGCCTTTGTGATCAGGGATATTCAGGCAACGCCACAGTTTGTTCTGATATTGATGAGTGTGCGTTAGATTTAGTCCAGTGTCCTAAGTTTTCACAATGCCACAATACTCATGGGGCGTTTTTGTGCCAGTGTTTTGATGGTTACCAACAAAACGGGACGGTATGTGAAGACATAAACGAGTGCTTGAACAATACGATCTGCCCCAACATCAGCACATGCATCAATCTGAACGGCAGCTATAATTGTCTTTGTGATGCTGGATTTTTTAACCAAAACAACTCGTGTTTGGACATAGATGAATGCGACATATCTCAGCTTCTTCTGTGCATTAACGGCACCTGCATGAACTCTTTTGGATCATACTATTGTGAATGCAACACAGGGTTTTTGAGCAACGGGACTCAATGTTTAGACATTGACGAATGCGACGAAACAGACAACATATCAGTTTGCCAGAACCACTCCACTTGTGTCAACGCCATAGGCTCGTATCTCTGCCCGTGCGATGCCGGTTTCTCGCTCGTAAACTCTATTTGTGAAGACGTAAACGAATGCAGTGACAGTGGAGACTTCTCTTGCCCAGAGCACTCCTTTTGTAACAACACTCTTGGATCTTATACCTGCCTCTGCTCTCCCGGATACAAGAACAATAGCTTTGGCTGCGTAGACGTAGACGAATGTGAAATCAACACAACATGCCGATCCGACCAAGTTTGCACAAATTCACCCGGCTCTTACCGTTGCTCTTGTCCGACAGGCTTCACCGAGCTAAACAATGTGTGTAATGATATAGATGAATGTGCCAGATTTCCATGTGACCCGATTGCAAGATGCTGGAACTCCCCTGGATCGTTTTCATGCCTTTGTCCCGTTGGGTTTGTGGGAAATGGTTCTTGGTGCAAAGATGAGGACGAATGCAGTGTTCGGAAGCCGTGCCACTTCAACGCCGCTTGCCTGAATTCTCCCGGCTCCTTCCAGTGTCTTTGCCGACCTGGGTTTGTGAACCTGGGGAGCTACTGTGTGGATGTGGACGAGTGCCAGCAGGACCATGGACAATGCCACTTTGCAGCTCGATGTGTGAACAGTATCGGAGGGTATGAGTGCAGCTGTAACCCCGGCTGGGTTCCATCCAGAGAGAACGGGCTCGGGAAGTCCGGCTGTGTGGATGTGGACGAGTGTTTGACCATCGTTTGCCCCAAAGGAAAACTCTGCAGCAATGAACCAGGAACCGTCAGATGTGTCAATCGTCGACCGTACACTCTCTACACCACGCCTCTGGTTCCAACGGGTGGGACATGGCTTACTTTGTTTACTTGTTAATGCACAAAGGCAAATCTTATCATTTACTTTATTCATTTACATTTTTAATCTAAAAGGTGAACATAAATACAGACATAACAGACAAAAAAAACAGACATGAAATAATGAAAAAGGCAAATCTTAAAGCTGGGGAACCTCCCTTTCAAAAGACAACACAATGAACTATGTATTCCATCTTACTGGTTCCTCACAATCCAAACCATTTGGTTTTGTTGCTGACGCTAGTTTTCCCATCGATGTATTTTTGCCTCTGACATATCTATAAATCAGCGTTTTCAGACATAAAAGAGAAAAAGAGATGTCTTCCCTCACTCAGCCGTTCAGATCGCAGCCCAATAGTGACGCACTGGGGTCGTTTTGTTCACACAACAAACAAACAACGTATTATTTTTTGAAACAATTTTGGTTCCCCAGTTTTAATGATTCTATATCATTCCTCAGCTTCCAGATTTCAGGGATGAACTGCACTAATCTGGGAGAGAGAAGATATCGTGCCTTTACTTTGACTCTGTGTTAGGGCTGGATAATAAATCGAATTTAGGCAAATAATCGGCTTATAAAAACTCACAAAAATGGTGAAATGGGATGAAGGATATAGTTCCAGCAGCACATGAATTATACTTATATCAACACAGTCCGTACAAGACCTTTATAATACATATTGGGCAAACAAATTATAAATAGTTTGGTTTAAAATCGTAATCGTCCAAAGCAGGAAATATATTATTGCATACATATTGCCCAGCCCTACTCTGTAGTGTTTAGGTTGACACTGGTCAATCACCGACATATAAAAGGCATAGCTACAAAGAGAACACAATTCATACAACTGTAGTCTTGTCTCATGTTTTATAGAGAGCGGTACTTCTATCTTATGGTGATTTTAAATTCAGATAATTCAGCTTTAACAAAACTGTCCTCCTGTCACTCAACACATGTTCTTTAGAAAACAGACCAATATTTAATGATAGAGATACACTGTTGTGCGTCTGTGTTGCTCATGCTGCAGTTGTGTGTTTGTGTTGCTCATGCTGCAGTTGTGTGTTTGTGTTGCTCATGCTGCAGTTGTATGTTTGTTGCTCATGCTGCAGTTGTGCGTCTGTGTTGCTCATGCTGCAGTTGTGTGTTTGTGTTGCTCATGCTGCAGTTGTGTGTTTGTGTTGCTCATGCTGCAGTTGTGTGTTTGTGTTGCTCATGCTGCAGTTGTATGTTTGTGTTGCTCATGCTGCAGTTGTGTGTTTGTGTTGCTCATGCTGCAGTTGTGTGTTTGTGTTGCTCATGCTGCAGTTGTGTGTTTGTGTTGCTCATGCTGCAGTTGTGCGTCTGTGTTGCTCATGCTGCAGTTGTGTGTTTGTGTTGCTCATGCTGCAGTTGTGTGTTCGTGTTGCTCATGCTGCAGTTGTGTGTTTTTTGCTCATGCTGCAGTTGTGCGTTTGTGTTGCTCATGCTGCAGTTGTGTGTTTGTGTTGCTCATGCTGCAGTTGTGTGTTTGTGTTGCTCATGCTGCAGTTGTGTGTTTGTGTTGCTCATGCTGCAGTTGTGCGTCTGTGTTGCTCATGCTGCAGTTGTGCGTTTGTGTTGCTCATGCTGCAGTTGTGCGTTTGTGTTGCTCATGCTGCAGTTGTGTGTTTGTGTTGCTCATGCTGCAGTTGTGTGTTTGTGTTGCTCATGCTGCAGTTGTGTGTTTTTTGCTCATGCTGCAGTTGTGCGTTTGTGTTGCTCATGCTGCAGTTGTGTGTTTGTGTTGCTCATGCTGCAGTTGTGTGTTTGTGTTGCTCATGCTGCAGTTGTGTGTTTGTGTTGCTCATGCTGCAGTTGTGCGTCTGTGTTGCTCATGCTGCAGTTGTGCGTCTGTCCAGAGAGCGTCCTGTTTCCTTTTGGAGCTGAAGCTGGAGATGAAGCCGTGAAGATGGACGCTGCCGATGGAAACACTCCGTACATGTCTCCTCCGGTCCACGTCCCGTTCCTCGGGAAACCCTACAGCAGGATTTATGTGAGTCTGTGATTATGACCTGATTTATTATACTATTTTATTATTCAAATGCACTGAAATGATCTACTTAGTAAAGGACATATTACATGACATTTCTTCCTTTAAAAAAAGTGTTTTTGTGTCCTTAATTGATTCTTTAAAACTAAGTGCTTCAGATCGACCCCACCAGAAGTTCAAATGTGACTGTCCATTATTTTCTTTCTAAAACATGTAAAGTTCAGAGTAAATATGATAAAGGATCATATTTACAGGACACATGTGCGATTAATGGTCTTTCCTGATATTTCCTGATGTTTCCTGGTCTTTCCTGGTCTTTCCTGGTCTCAGTTTTCCGACAACGGCCTGGTCCAGCTGCAGACTCCGGCTGAGAACCAGCAGTACCTTCTTCCTGGTCCCACCGGATCCGGGTTCCCGAAACACCGACCTCTGTCTCTGATCGCCGCCTTCTGGGACGATGTGGACCTGACCCTGGGGACGGGACAGGTCTTCTACCAGGTGAGCAGCAGGGACCAGCAGGGACCAGGTGAGCCAGCAGCAGGGACAAGCAGGGACCAGGTGAGCCAGCAGCAGGGACCAGGTGAGCCTACTGCAGGGACCAGGTGAGCCTACAGCAGGGACCAGGTGAGCCAGCAGCAGGGACGAGCAGGGACCAGGTGAGCCTACAGCAGGGACTAGGTGAGCCAGCAGCAGGGACCAGGTGAGCCTACTGCAGGGACCAGGTGAGCCTACAGCAGGGACCAGGTGAGCCAGCAGCAGGGACGAGCAGGGACCAGGTGAGCCAGCAGCAGGGACCAGGTGAGCCTACAGCAGGGACCAGGTGAGCCAGCAGCAGGGACCAGGTGAGCAGCAGGGACGAGCAGGGACCAGGTGAGCAGCAGGGACCAGGTGAGCCTACTGCAGGGACCAGGTGAGCCTACAGCAGGGACCAGGTGAGCCAGCGCAGCAGGGACGAGCAGGGACCAGGTGAGCCTACAGCAGGGACTAGGTGAAGCTACAGCAGGGACCAGGTGAGCCAGCAGCAGGGACCAGGTGAGCCTACAGCAGGGACCAGGTGAGCCAGCAGCAGGGACCAGGTGAGCCAGCAGCAGGGACGAGCAGGGACCAGGTGAGCCTACAGCAGGGACTAGGTGAGCTAGCAGCAGGGACCAGGTGAGCCTACTGCAGGGACCAGGTGAGCCTACAGCAGGGACCAGGTGAGCCAGCAGCAGGGACGAGCAGGGACCAGGTGAGCCAGCAGCAGGGACCAGGTGAGCCTACAGCAGGGACCAGGTGAGCCAGCAGCAGGGACCAGGTGAGCCAGCAGCAGGGACGAGCAGGGACCAGGTGAGCCAGCAGCAGGGACCAGGTGAGCCTACAGCAGGGACCAGGTGAGCCAGCAGCAGGGACCAGGTGAGCAGCAGGGACGAGCAGGGACCAGGTGAGCAGCAGGGACCAGGTGAGCCTACTGCAGGGACCAGGTGAGCCTACAGCAGGGACCAGGTGAGCCAGCAGCAGGGACGAGCAGGGACCAGGTGAGCCTACAGCAGGGACTAGGTGAAGCTACAGCAGGGACCAGGTGAGCCAGCAGCAGGGACCAGGTGAGCCTACAGCAGGGACCAGGTGAGCCAGCAGCAGGGACCAGGTGAGCCTACAGCAGGGACCAGGTGAGGCTACAGCAGGGACCAGGTGAGCCTACAGCAGGGACCAGGTGAGCCTACTGCAGGGACCAGGTGAGCCTACAGCAGGGACCAGGTGAGCCAGCAGCAGGGACCAGATGAGCCTACAGCAGGGACCAGGTGAGCAGCAGGGACCAGGTGAGCCAGCAGCAGGGACCAGGTGTTACCACTGATAATCCCATGGTATTGTTGTTGTTGCAGGAGTACAGTGAGCTGGACATGTCGGACATCTACTCCCAGATTGTGTTCAATCGCACCGCAGCAGAGGTCACAGCGTTTGAGAAAAGGAAAAACAAACCGCCGTTTACTCCGGCCTATATCCTGAAAATCACCTGGGACCACGTCATGGCGCCCGCACACCAGGAAGTGGACTTCTCAGAGGTGCACCATTAACATCATATTTACTGTCAATAAAGAAATGACAAACTTTTGACAAACAGTAAAACACCAATTTATATTCTTAGAAGAATTATAGAGCACGTTAGTCCCTGTGCTCCTCAGAGTCCCAGCAGGGGGCCAGTCCCTGTGCTCCTCAGAGTCCCAGCAGGAGTCCAGTCCCTGTGCTCCTCAGAGTCCCAGCAGGAGTCCAGTCCCTGTGCTCCTCAGAGTCCCAGCAGGAGGCCAGTCCCTGTGCTCCTCAGAGTCCCAGCAGGAGTAGGAGAGCTGCATTAAAATAGATCCATCAGACTGAACTAATGGATATAAACCAGATTAAAAACTGGTATGAACCAGATTTTTAAAAAGACAAGTCAAACAATATTCTCACTGTTTGCAGGAGTTCGCAGGTGTCATTTATTCTCAGGACTTTTTTGTACAAGGCTTTGGTTCATACCCGTAATGAGAGGAGGAGCCTCTGTATGTTTGTGGTGCAACTCTTTGGCTCCCTCTGGTGGCCATATGAGAGCACACACAACATGTCAGGTAAAAAGGAAAACGCGAACTTTATGGTCTTCCACAGTGCGATGGACTTACTCTTCTTCCTACTTTATTTCTAACCAATAAATAAGGAAAAATAACAATGAAATTAGCCGTTTACAATGTGATTGTGTGAAATAATGAATGTAGTGCAGTGGTTAACACATTATTGTATCTTTATCAGAAACAATAATATTTTACACTGCGTATGAGAGGAACCACAATAAAAGACCAAATAAAAGGTACAAACAATGGGGACATTCTAGTATTAATCAACACTGGAAAGTATATTGTAATTGCATCACACTTAGAGAGAGGTATAATAATAATAATAATAATAATATAGAACATTTAGAAAGCACTATTTGAATATTTAAATGTAGTGTTGTTCTTACAAGAGTGAATCTGTTTTTGGTGTGAGCTTTCATCTGCTGAAGGGAGACTACGGCCAAGGATTAGAGAATTTATGAATGATTCATGTTGGCGACATTGTGGCTGAGTGGTTAGCACTCTCGGCAGAAGGTCCTGGGTTTGATTCCACCACCAAATGTTGCCATTGTGAGATGAATAAAGTTATCTTATCTTATTAGACATGGATATTCTGAGTAGAGTTTGTATGTTCTCCCCGTGCCTGTGTAGATTTCCTCCAGGTGCTCCGGTATCCCCCTCCACAACAGCCCCCCTCTCTCTGGACCAGGACTCTGAAAACTCAGTGGGACTTTCCTGGTTAAAAAAGGTCACAAAGATTTGGTTCATCTTTTGACTAATTGTTTTTATTGCTGGATTTTCTAATATGCTTTTGCCAAATCATGTAAAGTCCTGCCTTTGTGACTTTGAACTGGACCTTGGTCTAAGAACTGTGCCACATAAATAAAAATGATGCAGGACATCTCGTTCGCTAACAGTTTTTATCCACAAGCTGTTGTGCACTTTAATGATTTGCACTTGTTTTGAACTGTTTTAGTCGATCGATTTCACAGTGACATTTGTTTACTGTTTTATTTGTTTTATTTCTGTCTTTTAATGTTGTTTTATGTCTGTATTTGTCTGTGCACACTGGAGACTTTTGCTAATGTATTCCAATGTGTTTTTTTTACTGCAAATGGCAAATAAACTGAATCTGAATCTGAATCTGATGATTAAATGCACTGCTTTGTCTTTCAGACCAACACCTTCCAGTGCGTCCTGACCACAGACGGCAGCCGCTCGTTTGCGCTGCTGCGGTACGGCCCCATGCTCTGGGGCCCCGGGCTGCGATCCCATCACCACGCCCTGGTGGGCTACACCAACGGCACACACGACCACATCGAGCCCACCGTCCCGGCGGACAACATGTTCGGAGACGGCGGGAGATACCGACCAAACCAGTGGATAGGACCACTGGGGAGACCGGGAGAACTGCTGTACGATCTCTCTGACCCCTCAGGCACGGACTCTGACCCCATGATTAGATGTCAGGGGTGGGCTCTGCGGCAGAGCGACGTGGGCAGATGGTCACGGGGTCTGCCGTCCTGCCCCTGCACCAAAACACAAGCCCAAGGAGACATGTCGTTTGTGGAAGAGGTGCTGGACCAGTCGGACAGCGTGGCCATGCTGAGGGCGCAGAGATACGGGAGCGTCGGGAGGCATGTGTTCAAGTCCCTTCTGTCCAACGCTTACGGATCCGGAAAGAGATGTGTTTATGAACCTGACGGAGAGCTCCTGACCGGCTTCAGCGAGCGCCACTTCACTGCAGCCGCCGAGCAGAGGCACATCGGTGAGACCGGTTGATGCAAAACATAATATTAGCTTTTATCATAATCGACACATTCTGACTTAAAACAAGATTCACAGGACAAAGACTTTTAGTTTTATTTCAACTGATGCTTTATTTTCTTATTCCAACAGAGTCATTTCTGTATCTTTTTAAAACAAGATCATTTTGCTTTGTCCCGTTGGAGAATCTGGTTTTAAGGCTCAGTCAGAATGTGCTTAAACTTAACTGAATTTCTCCATCTGTGTGAGATAATAAAGGATTGATTGATTGAAATTAAGATAAATGTTTCAAAATGACTTGAACACTGTGTGTAATAAAGGCTCAGCCCTGTGAGGGGAGTCACGTAACTTACGTAACTTACGTGACTGCCTGGCTCGTTACGTTTCGCGGTTCTTGTGACGGCAGCTAAGTTGTGTTCCTACAGTTAGAAGCTCGCTTTGTGTGAAGTTCCAGCCCACTGCTGCCTCAAACTCAGTCACTGATGAAACACTGTGTGTTTGTGTGAAGCAACCTGTGCAGCAGTGGCGGCTGCAATAAAATACCTGAACTTCTACCTGGTGTCTCCCCATCTTTCCTTACCTGTGTTCTGACCGACGCCTTGTTTCATGTCTGACCCCTCCTTGAATTAGCATTACACAGTCCACCTCCTCCCTAACACTGTGAACATTGAGCTAATGACTCACTGCCTAAATATTTCTTGCACTAGATTCTGCAGTATGTTATACTTTGATCAGAGTCAGTATGTTATACTTTGATCAGAGTCAGTATGTTATACTTTGATCAGAGTCAGTATGTTATACTTTGACTAGAGTCAGTATGTTATACTTTGATCAGAGTCAGTATGTTATACTTTGATCAGAGTCAGTATGTTATACTTTGATCAGAGTCAGTATGTTATACTTTGATCAGAGTCAGTATGTTATACTTTGATTAGAGTCAGTATGTTATACTTTGATCAGAGTCAGTATGTTATACTTTGATCAGAGTCAGTATGTTTTACTTTGATCAGAGTCAGTATGTTATACTTTGATCAGAGTCAGTATGTTATACTTTGATCAGAGTCAGTATGTTATACTTTGATTAGAGTCAGTATGTTATACTTTGATCAGAGTCAGTATGTTATACTTTGATCAGAGTCAGTATGTTATACTTTGATTAGAGTCAGTATGTTATACTTTGATCAGAGTCAGTATGTTATACTTTGATTAGAGTCAGTATGTTATACTTTGATCAGAGTCAGTATGTTATACTTTGACTAGAGTCAGTATGTTATACTTTGATTAGAGTCAGTATGTTATACTTTGACTAGAGTCAGTATGTTTTACTTTGATCAGAGTCAGTATGTTATACTTTGATCAGAGTCAGTATGTTATACTTTGATCAGAGTCAGTATGTTATACTTTGATCAGAGTCAGTATGTTATACTTTGACTAGAGTCAGTATGTTATACTTTGATTAGAGTCAGTATGTTATACTTTGATCAGAGTCAGTATGTTATACTTTGATCAGAGTCAGTATGTTATACTTTGATCAGAGTCAGTATGTTATACTTTGATCAGAGTCAGTATGTTATACTTTGATCAGAGTCAGTATGTTATACTTTGACTAGAGTCAGTATGTTATACTTTGATCAGAGTCAGTATGTTATACTTTGACTAGAGTCAGTATGTTATACTTTGATCAGAGTCAGTATGTTTTACTTTGATCAGAGTCAGTATGTTTTACTTTGATCAGAGTCAGTATGTTATACTTTGATCAGAGTCAGTATGTTTTACTTTGATCAGAGTCAGTATGTTATACTTTGATCAGAGTCAGTATGTTATACTTTGACTAGAGTCAGTATGTTATACTTTGATCAGAGTCAGTATGTTATACTTTGATCAGAGTCAGTATGTTATACTTTGATCAGAGTCAGTATGTTATACTTTGATCAGAGTCAGTATGTTATACTTTGATCAGAGTCAGTATGTTATACTTTGATCAGAGTCAGTATGTTATACTTTGATTAGAGTCAGTATGTTATACTTTGATCAGAGTCAGTATGTTATACTTTGACTAGAGTCAGTATGTTATACTTTGATCAGAGTCAGTATGTTATACTTTGACTAGAGTCAGTATGTTATACTTTGATCAGAGTCAGTATGTTATACTTTGATCAGAGTCAGTATGTTATACTTTGATCAGAGTCAGTATGTTATACTTTGATCAGAGTCAGTATGTTATACTTTGATTAGAGTCAGTATGTTATACTTTGATCAGAGTCAGTATGTTATACTTTGACTAGAGTCAGTATGTTATACTTTGATCAGAGTCAGTATGTTATACTTTGATCAGAGTCAGTATGTTATACTTTGATCAGAGTCAGTATGTTATACTTTGACTAGAGTCAGTATGTTATACTTTGATCAGAGTCAGTATGTTATACTTTGACTAGAGTCAGTATGTTATACTTTGATCAGAGTCAGTATGTTATACTTTGATCAGAGTCAGTATGTTATACTTTGACTAGAGTCAGTATGTTATAATTTGATTAGAGTCAGTATGTTATACTTTGATCAGAGTCAGTATGTTATACTTTGATTAGAGTCAGTATGTTATACTTTGACTAGAGTCAGTATGTTATACTTTGACTAGAGTCAGTATGTTATACTTTGATCAGAGTCAGTATGTTATACTTTGATCAGAGTCAGTATGTTATACTTTGATCAGAGTCAGTATGTTTTACTTTGATCAGAGTCAGTATGTTATACTTTGATCAGAGTCAGTATGTTATACTTTGATCAGAGTCAGTATGTTATACTTTGACTAGAGTCAGTATGTTATACTTTGATCAGAGTCAGTATGTTTTACTTTGATCAGAGTCAGTATGTTATACTTTGATCAGAGTCAGTATGTTATACTTTGATCAGAGTCAGTATGTTATACTTTGATCAGAGTCAGTATGTTATACTTTGATCAGAGTCAGTATGTTATACTTTGATCAGAGTCAGTATGTTATACTTTGATCAGAGTCAGTATGTTATACTTTGATCAGAGTCAGTATGTTATACTTTGATCAGAGTCAGTATGTTATACTTTGATCAGAGTCAGTATGTTATACTTTGATCAGAGTCAGTATGTTATACTTTGATCAGAGTCAGTATGTTATACTTTGATCAGAGTCAGTATGTTATACTTTGATCAGAGTCAGTATGTTATACTTTGATCAGAGTCAGTATGTTATACTTTGACTAGAGTCAGTATGTTATACTTTGATCAGAGTCAGTATGTTATACTTTGATTAGAGTCAGTATGTTATACTTTGACTAGAGTCAGTATGTTATACTTTGACTAGAGTCAGTATGTTATACTTTGATCAGAGTCAGTATGTTATACTTTGATCAGAGTCAGTATGTTATACTTTGACTAGAGTCAGTATGTTATACTTTGATCAGAGTCAGTATGTTATACTTTGATTAGAGTCAGTATGTTATACTTTGATCAGAGTCAGTATGTTATACTTTGATCAGAGTCAGTATGTTATACTTTGATCAGAGTCAGTATGTTATACTTTGACTAGAGTCAGTATGTTATACTTTGATCAGAGTCAGTATGTTATACTTTGATCAGAGTCAGTATGTTATACTTTGACTAGAGTCAGTATGTTATACTTTGATCAGAGTCAGTATGTTATACTTTGATCAGAGTCAGTATGTTATACTTTGATCAGAGTCAGTATGTTATACTTGGACTAGAGTCAGTATGTTATACTTTGATCAGAGTCAGTATGTTATACTTTGACTAGAGTCAGTATGTTATACTTTGATCAGAGTCAGTATGTTATACTTTGATCAGAGTCAGTATGTTATACTTTGATCAGAGTCAGTATGTTATACTTTGATCAGAGTCAGTATTGTAACGTCCTGGCTCGAGGTAATGAATGAGACAGTGTTCTACTTGTTGCTTTAATACAAGATGGTTACTGTCGGCCGTAACCACGCCAATACAAGTCCACAACTTAGCAGAACAACAGCCCGTTCGCAGTCCCGGGTAAAAAGACCGCATTATCAAAACAATCTTCTCTAACCCCCCCAGTAGGCCCGCCCCTCCATCCTCAGAACCAATCCTGTAAGTGCACTAAACCGTGAAGAATAACATGAAATAACAGCATTAACATAACATAAATGCAGGGTCGCTACACTGCCCCCTCCCCACTAAGTCCCTCGCCCCGAGGGATCACATAGAAAGTCTCTAAGGTGACTGGGGGCCCTTATCTCCCTACGGGGTCTCTTTGGGGTGACTGCTAACCTGGGAACAACATGCTTCGGAGCAGGGGGCATCTGTGTGTCAGTTGATGGGGAAACAGTCAATGTCTGGGGTCCGACTGTTTTGTCTCTCTGAGTGGATACAGGGCGTGACTGGGGATGTGCGTCACCCATGTATGGGGCTAACCTATCTCTGTGAAGGGCCACCCGTCTACCCCTAGGTGGGAGCTGCACCCTATACACCACCTCCCCAAGCTTCTCAAGTACCCTACAGGGCCCCACCCAGTGACAGTCCAGCTTAGGGCACCTCCCTTTTTTTCTCTTAGGGCTGAACACCCACACGAGGTCCTCAGGGTTAAAGTCTCTTCCTTTGGCCCTCATGTCGTAGTTTCTTTTCTGCCGGATCCCAGCCTTTTGCAGCTGGTCACGGGCAAACGCATGAGCTGTCTCCATCCGGTCCTGTAGCCTCCGAGCGTATTCCGGTCCTGGTGGGACAGCAGGAGTGTGTGGGGGTCTGCCAAAGCACATTTCTCTGGGTGTCCGCAGCTCTCGCCCCAACATGAGAAGAGCAGGTGTGCATGCTGTGGACTCCTGAACCGAAGACCTGTAGGCAAGCAGGACAAGGGGGAGGTGCATATCCCAATCCCGCTGGTGTTCTGCAGTGATGATCGCCAGTTGTTTTGCGAGTGTTCTGTTGAAACGCTCGACTAGCCCATCACTCTGAGGGTGTAGTGGGGTAGTACGTGTCTTTTGCGCTCCCATACGCTGAC